AAGCCTCTCTAAATGCTATCAAACACCTCATTAGACTTCGCCAGAAAGTGCCTGTCGACAGTTTCCAGTTCGATGCTCTATCTTGTCAGATAGCCTTAGACAAAACTGGAGCCAAATGTTGGGCCTCAGGAGTTCGGAAGTCCTTAGAGGAGTGCGGTTTTGGTTATATCTGGCATTGTACCTTATCACAAAACACGGATACGTCCTATATTATTAATTCCATCAACCAACGTCTGAAAGACATCCATTTCCAAAAGTTCCTAAAAGAAATACACAATGATAACAAAGGCGGAGCTGCTAGAAACAAATTGAGATCGTACAGACTGTTCAAGACAACGTACAATGGAGAAAAGTATCTAAATCTCGACAATGTACGGCATAGGACCGCCACTACAAAACTCAGGATAAGCTGCCACAAACTGCACATTGAAACCGGACGCCATAACCGCACTCCCCTGGAACAACGAATATGTAGGCATTGTAATCTAAATAGGATAGAGGATGAGGAACACTTTGTATTAGAATGTAGTTTATACAACGAAGAGAGAGCAGAGCTTTATAAACTATTGCAATGTATGTTTCCCCATTTCATACATCTTAGCAACACAGATAAGTTCATATTTCTGATGATTTTAGACAAACCTTCGATTATAAAACACATCTGTACTATATCTACATCATTACTAAGAAGCGAGAAGAAACCAAATTATCGTAATTATTAGACTATATGTCCATAGTACATAGAATTAGCACTGGCTTGTACATTGTATATATTCATTGCAAGCTGTGACGTCTTTCCTGTGACCTGTACTGAACCCAGTGGGTATTTGCGTACAATAAAGGTCTTCATTCATTCATTCATTCATTCATATAATGTTATGTGTCTAATGTCTCCCTGCATGTTCGGTCAGTTATGGCCGACGTGACCTGGGATAGCAATGTTCCTTTCTTTTATTTGTGAAATATACCAATGTTTAATTTTGTGCTGAGACTGGACTACCAAAGATATAATATCACAAACTTCAGAAGCCAGAATTACCCTCAGAAGGATTTTACTACTCGCTTGTATGTAAACATCTCATGGTTGTGTGTAAAGGACGATCGAATTACCAGCCTGATCAACCGACTTCACGGATCACTGAATGCTCTACTGAACTAAATATTCTATAGCTGAGCCGCCTCTTTTTTTCTAATGTCTACTGCGTGCATTTAGGAAGTTAACAGCCAGGGTGAGAGGTTCTAACAGCCTCCGTATCTCACGGCACCCCTCTTGGGTAAATCATTTTGTGTTAGTGTTTGCCGGTGAAAGCCGAGCGAGAAGCAACAACAAAGTATGTTGGAATGAGAGTACATACTAGATAATTTATCGATGGCGCAGCACCAATACATACTTACATCGCGTGTTCTCGTTTAACTTTAGAACCACATCGCCCTGTTTTTCTCAGACCATTGCATACTAATTAGCTGACGTCACAGTTGAGTCGAGCAGCACTAGGCCCAAAATGATCCAAAATGGGAGCACCATTGAAGTACCAACTAACAGGCTTCAAAATCTTTCTTTCCGTACAAATTTTGACCCAAGAAGAAACAAGCAGGGTTCAACAAGCTTTACCAGTTTAGAAAAAAAATTGTCAAGTACACTGTGTTTTTTTTCACAAGGACAGACCTGAGTGGTATGGTCTGGTTCTCAGTGCGGATGGATATAATCAGATACTGGAGTAAAATTTAGGATCTGTTTTAATAGAGTCATAGAGCTTCCAGTTGTTCAATTTAAAAGTGGACAACTCCTTTTTTCTTTAGTTATCAGCCAGAAAGGGCTGACATGAAGCACTGTACAAACAGACGATGTCTAAATTGCCAAATAAACATTCCTTGTAATCCATGCGCCAGATCGAATCCGTTTTGCCAAATATGAACCTTGCAAACTATCATCACAAAAAATACTGTGTTTCGAGTATACACGGTTTACAGTTTTTCAAGTTCTACAAAACACAAGCGTAAACTGAGTGAAGATACTATGTTGTTTGTTAATGCTTATGGAGTTAACGGCCATGGATGACTGACTAGCTAGGTACCCACCCGATGTTGCAAAAGCACCAGATAGGCAGCAGCACAGTCCCCAGAGCAGCGCCAGTGATGTTCCAGTAGTGGTTGACAGGTTCCCCATTCTACCGCAAGACGACTAACTCGTGCTGTACCAGTTCTTTCTAGTAACCTGATGTTGAAACGTTCTGGTGCACGATCTTGAGGTATAATGTACGGTCAGATTCTACCAGCAACTGGTATTAAAAAGTGGTGCGTGTGGTATTTCACTTGTAGCACGAACTCCTACGTCACAGGGTAACCATGGTAACCACTACAAAATAAGGGAACAGGTGCAAGTTGTGAGGGAGAGAAGTCATCGAATATTCATTTAATCAGTATCATCCATCTGGTATGTCGTGACGCACTGTTCTCTGAATTATTCAATGACGGGCTCTGTGCCTGTCTGTACCTATATGACAAACGGTAGAGGTGTTTTTGTGTTCCGAGTAAGTTATCAAAAGGCAAATATTGGTCGCTATGTACTGCGGCAAATTCACCGTTATAGATCCATTTTTGGTACAGGGGATGTGGTGAAGCTACCGGCTGCATTTTCTTCCAAGCAAATGTCGGCAAATGTTTGTTTTTTTTAATCGCAAAAACGTCCTGATAAGCATATTCTATAGTATGTCCATTGATTGGACCAGGACAGACAGTTGTCGGACATGTCGGGCATACAGGGTTGACACGTCTACATGTAAGCCATAAAGAAGTGCACTCAACACTACAGCCCTGTAGACATATCGCTTCTCAGTATTGCGGGTAAACTACTTGCAAAGGTGGCCCTTGTGAAGACTGCATGTAATCTCTGAGGCAATACTACCGGAGAGTTAGTGCAGTTTTCGGCCTGACTACTCTCCAAGCACAGGTTGATGGTGGAAGATTGTTTGCGTTTTATATATGGCCCTTTTTTGTCGCTACATGGGGAGATGGTTACAGACTTGATACTGTCTTACCCCCACCAAAAGATCTGCTTGGAGATTAGGCCTGACCGCGGCACCACATATGCCTTATAAATATAAAATGATATAAAATAAAAGGGAGGTCACCAGGAGTGTAGCCCGCACACAGTAAATGGCCTTTACTTCATTTATGTCACATGCATAGAATTCCTAAAATGAAAAAAAAATGGGAAATACAGGATTAATTTGAATTATTTGCATCTGATTATCTACATCTCTATCGATATGATATATCATGAGAATCCATTCGTTCTTTCTAAGGTATTTCGAGGTTTGGTCTACAGACCAATTGTTAATAAATAAACATAAGCCTAACATATTATAATATAAGAACCTAGCCGTGTTTAGCTAGCCTGGGTACCAGTGAAACCTTTGGTCGGCTTGGCGGTATTTTTCGGCCCGGGCCTTTATTACCAAGCACAAGCGAGTTATGCCACGGACCTATCTCCAGCTAGTTTCCCTGTATCCGCTGACTTCCTGTATTACGCTTAGTCTTCTTTTGCCGCCTACCTAAAACCCCCGAAGCGCGGTAATTAAGGCCTGGTTGGCGGCCCCAAACGCTGTCGGCGCCGAAGAGATAGCGCTGAGCTCACGGCGGTCTGGTTAACCAGGCTATGTTTAGCAAGCCCACGCAAAATGAATGCATTACACATGTCTCACGTAACCTTCGTAGAAAAATATTTCTTTGTAGAGGAGCTATACAGACCAATTACGCCACACTGATGCTAGCCTGGGTGCCATATGCATCCTCCATAGTCCATGGTAGCTAGCGACTGTAGGGATCTGGCGGTAACTACGGAGGATGGCATCCAGGCTGCCTAAGTCCACGGAACTCAAGAACTCAGTACAGTGCCGAATGCCGATTCATAAATGCCGCAAAAGACCAGCATGTGCCGGCTTGTCGTAAAAGTCGCTATTTACTACTGCACCTTTACAATGCCAGCTTTGTATACCTGTTTTATTAGCAACATTTTTTGACTGAATTTTATTTTTTTGCCCGTGCGCACTAGTTTGGGTATCTTCAGAGGATGTCATAATAAAATTAAGTAAGTGTGGCCTTAACAGTGTTTTGCAGCTCAGCGCACTGTGAAAACTTACACGTGGATTATATCACATTAAAAACAATTTTTAAACCACAAGAAACTCAGTACAATTAGAACTGATACGATAAAATGCCGAAAGTCCGACTCGTAGAGGCAGCTTACAAGGCTAAGGCTATAGCTGCACCCGGTGACAGTTTCGTTACACTGAAATGAAATTAAGTGGATTCTCTCGCATCACATATAAGAAGGGTTTGGAATCCTATGTTATCCCTCCAGGCCTCTCAGTGCGGCTTGAAAATCTACATAAGTCACCAGTTCCTCTCTTAGTGACCGTCAGTACTATATAATACTGGATTTCCAGATGTAGCAATGAGCCACCAGATTTCCGGTGCCCACGCAGATTCCAAGTACAGGAAACCTGAAACCATAATAAACTGTTCATAGCAGTATCTTTTAGAATGATGGGGGTCGCATGATGGTGTTTTTATTAATTCGTGGAGCTGGAAAGTCATTTATATATAAGTTAAACAACTGAGGACTGAAACTACAACCTTGACGTACACCACAGGTTGATTGAAAGTAGGGCGAGAGACCGTTTGATATTTTGACGCAATATTCTACATTTGAGTACATTGACTGTATGGTTTTGAAGAAGTTCCCCCCTACCCCTGTTGATAGTAATTTGTAAAACAATCCATTTCTCCAGACGGAATCAAAGGCCTTCCTAAAATCTACGAATCATGTAATATAATTTAACTCCGGGTGTGGAAATTTGTTGATCGATGGGGTTATATGATGGTATAGATCTGTACTCCCTAGTGGTTAATTAAAGTGCAGGACAAATGATATAGGTGTGGTGATAAGTCAGATACCACCAGACCAATGCAACACGTTTGTTTGTGTGTTTTTACAGACGATCGCAGTGGCCTCCAGTGTCCTGACTCTGACCGGTATCGCAGTAGAACGTTACTACGCCATCATTCATCCTCTCAAGGTAAGAACAGTGTTTGAATGTCTATAGAGAAACAGACGTACAGATATAAACAAAGGCGTTAAACTTCAGTTACCTGTTGTTATGTCTGCCAAAGCTACTCCACTTTTGCCTAGTTGCCTAATAGCCCCCAGCCTGTGCATGCTGTACTCTAAACAAGGCCACAAATCTGTATAACTGACTTTTCTGTCATGTCCTTAGTCGGAAGCATGCTCGTGTTTACGTAAAACGGTGTGTATTACAGGTGAAGTACCTCCTGAGTAAAGCCCGTGCCGGCGTCATCCTGGCCCTGGTGTGGGTGGTGTCAGTCGGCGTGGCCACTCCCATGCTCTTCGTCCACAAGACCGAGGAACTGAAAGATGTCCTGTTCGACCTGCAGTTCGTGACCTGTGGGGAGAAGTGGTGGGGACCGACTCAGCAGACAACCTACACCATCTTCAACCTGGTGGTGCTGTTCATCCTCCCGCTCCTCACCATGACCAGCCTGTACATCCGGATCGCCCACCGCCTGTGGGTGCAGCAGCCTGTGGGGGTGTTCGCCGGCAGCAACTTCGCTCACGGCAACTCCGTCCGCCGCAAGCGCCAGGCCATCAAGATGCTGGTTGTTGTCGTGTTGCTGTTCGCTGTTTGCTGGCTGCCCTACCACACAGTCACCATGAAGGGCGAGGTGACCGGGCTTCGACTGGATGAGAAATCTGGAAAGCTGCTGGTCGCCATCGTGCAGCTGATTGCCTTCAGCAACAGGTGAGCTGTTTTACAGGGATCCACTTTGTTTTCACATTCACAAAACCGTCATATTTTTTTAATTGTTTACTTTACTTTACTTTACTTTTCATTATTGTAGAGATAGATTCTCGTGATTTATATACAAAACTAGTCTTATTTTCGTTGTTTTTGTTATTACTCCGTGAAGGAGGTCAGGACCTCCGGACGGAGTGTTGTGATCGGCTGATTTTTCATGTTCGCAGTCAAAACACTGGGTTCTCTTTGTGTAATCGGCACGCAATTTTATACGCCGTCTGCGGGCATGCCCGTGTTGATGCACGAATGTGTATTTTTGCCGTTGCTGCTTTCGCGGTCAATGTAATATTGCAGACGCACCCCTACAATTACGAGGCGAATTGGAATGGTCCAGAAAAACGCGTTGTTTGGAATAGCAGTGGGGGGGGTGGAACTTCATGCAGATACGGGGTGGTTTTGATAAGTGGTTCCAGATGTTTTTGCCCGTGGTTAAGAGATGGCAAGTTTTTTGGAAGATGTTCGCAGCCAAAACGCATTCTTCCGTACGTCGCATTTCTGTGTAATTTCGCATGTGGTGTGGCATTATGTCCGGGATGATGCACGTCTTTTTATTTTTACCGTAGCTGTTTTGATATTGGAGTAAATGCTTATTTTCGAAACATCCCCATGTCGTTGAAATGTTTTCGTCCGTTTATGGTTTATGTAACCGGTAGTTGAAGGCGCGGTCAGGCTGATGGGACGGAAATGTGGGGTGGTCAGTGGTCAGCATTACGAAATGTAAATACCGATGACGTAATCCTATCGATTTCGAGCTGGTCGGCTGTGGCGACCTAGTGGCGGCGTGTATTTAGTCACGTAGCAACTGGCCGGTCGTCCTAGCAACGAGCATGCTGGCCGCTTCTCTGCCAATGTTTTTGGGTTGGGCCGCTCCATAGTGTTAGTGGAGCAGCTCTTTGTAAACATGGACAATATTTTTGAGCAACCCATCAATGTGTTCTGCCTTGTGGTCGGATGTGGTCTGGGGCTGGTAAACCGCACATACTAGTAGATCGGGTAATTTTATGATTTGCTAGTTGTAAAGGCGTCTTGTAGTATGAGCCGGTATATGAAGAAGTAGCCTGTGTTACACAATCATGCTTTCGGCCGGATTGATGTGCAACTGTTACTAATTGCAGGGACTGCGCTAATGCCGACCAGTCGCGCTGTCCTGATACACCGCGAATGTGCGAGTGTTCCCTGTAGACAGTCCCGGGAGCACATTCCAGGAGCCAAACCAAAATACGTTCATGAACCGAGTCCAAAAAACCGAAACGTGAAAATCGGATGATCGGACCTGATGTACATTTCTCTTTCTGTAGATTATACACACAATACACACATCTTTAGATAATCTGGCCATGGCAGGTAAAAAAAAAGTAACCCTGAATCATACTACATTAGCGTAAATGCATGTTTATGCGTTCAAAACAAGAGAAGAAATTGTTTCCCGGTATTAATCTCTTGAAACACGGCGCTGAATATTGACGCAAAAATATTTCGGGCATCGCGCGCCCTTCCCCGTTGTTTAGACTGTATGCAAATCCCGCGTCACGTGTCGGCATTTCGCATCTCTGATTGGTTGTTGCGTCTTAAGATGACTGAGCCGACGCGCGTTTAAACAATTTTTCTTTGTTCGATTTATCACACTTCACAGAGAATTGTCGCCAATGGCTACTTCTTTTTGTTGCAATATATAATACTTCACGGAGAATTGTCACCTATGGCTTCTTGTTAATTTTGTATTTCGTTTGTGTAGTTGTTCTTGTTTTTTAATTATTTTACTTTTTACGTCAAAACAAGGCTCATACGAAGCACATGTTTTGGGATACATGAAGGAACTGTAGAGACAATAATATAGAGTTTGTTTACCTCAGATTTAAGGTTGAACCCATTTGGGAAACATTCATGAGGAAGCTAAAGCTAGTTCCATAGTGATATAGTTCTAAGAAAGAACTTTTCTGCATGTATATTTCTCCGGAGAGATGGACTACAGAGGAAAAAGGTGATCGTTTCAAATGTATGGTTATTTTAAGATTTTGTTTGTGTTTTGTGGGTTTTTTTATCGAACATAGTTCTGGATAGGTGTGGATCATCCAGAACAATGCATGTAGAGCACGGTTCTGGATTCTGATAACGCACGTTTCTGGATACAACAGTGACATAGCAGTACTGGATATCGATGATTAAAATATTATCTTCGTTTTGCTAGCTTTAACAACCCCGTGGTGTACGCCATCCTCAACGAGAACTTCAAGAAGAACTTCATGACCATGCTGCGGTGTGGAGTGAACCGCGTGTCTCCACAGCAGGTCACCCCCAACACCCTGCAGACTCCCATGGAACAGTCCACACGCAGCTGCAGACTGCCTCCACAGCAGCAGATCTGATCCGTAGACACCATCTACATCTGTATGTAAATATGATCTGTAGACACCAATGTACATTCGTATGTAGATCTGATCTGTAGACACCATCTACATCTGTATGTAGATCGAATCTGTTGACATCATCTACATCTGGATCTGATCTATAATCACCATTTACATCATATGTAGATCTGATCCATAGACACCACCCATATCCGTATGTAGATCTGATCTGTAGACACCATCTACATTTGTACATCTGTATGTAGATCTGATCTGTAGACACCATCTACAACTAGATCTGATCTGTAGACGCCAGCTACATCCACATGTAGATCTGATCTGTAGACACCATCTACATCTGTATGTAGATCCGATCTGTAGACACCGTCTACATGTGTATGTACATTGTACATGTACATGTAGATCTGATCTGTATATACCATCTACATCCCTATGTACATGTAGATCTGATCTGTAGACACCATCTACATGGGCGGTATATTGTGAGGCCAGTCAGTCTTTTTTAAACTATCTACATTCAGGCCGTTCAAACCTAAAATTAATTTTCCGGCCATTTTAAACATAGTTGAATAAATTCTATGGCATTGCGTACCGATGCTCAGGAAGGGGAAAATTGCAACATCGTTGCACCATACAAACATATTTCAAGACTGTGACCTCCCCATCCAACACAGGGCTACTCATGGTCTGTTGACAGCTCGCTATAGTTTCTGTAATGCCTCACCCTCGCAAGTGCTCTTGCAGTTTGAAAAGGAAAATAACCACAATTCATTGATGCCATACAAAACTAAGCTGGGGTTTTGTGTTTAGGTTAGCGGCACAGTTGAAAGGAGAGACAAAAATAAGGTGTAGAGGAAGTCAACAAACCCCGAGGCCAGAGGATTATATGGGTCCAGGAAATCCGATTTTCACAGGAAATACCCTGTTCAAAACAGATTATTGCTTACTTCCTCTCGTAATATTCAGGAAGCAAAGGCTTGATTTGCCTGTTCGTGGAACCTAGTAGATCCAAGGGCTGAACAAAAATAATTCATGTTCTGAATGGAATTATATAGATCGATGTAAGGCTTCTTAAATTTCTGGAGAAAATTGTACATTCTACATTATAGTCGCCTTTCCGTACAATGGCTATTGACTTGACAATAACAGTGTTTTAGACATCTCTTGCCTATCTTAAAACAGTTAATTTGATTTCTATACAGAAAAATACATATACATGATTACATGTAATGCGGGTGTCCTCAGGTGACGTGGCCAGGGGTCTACCAGATATAGATAAGGTGTAACAAACAAACAAAACAAAGCAATGTAACATAAATACACTGATATAGAATATTGATCTAAATCATCTAAATAATTATCTTGATGATATCAACTTTGATAAAGGAATAAACCAGAGAGTTCGTATGTACCTAATATTGCAAGACAGAAATAAACGTCTTTATAACCTATTTCAGGTCTATTTGATGTTTTATAACATCGGACCTGAAAACTAGTAATCTGACCATGGAATCACCAAACTTTTAGAACTGTTTTTTTAAGGTTATTATATCAGGTAACAATTCTTAAAGATTCATGTTCCAACAGTCGCATTCAATCAAAGTCTCGTGACTTAAGATTAATCATGTATGCTAATTTGATGACGTCATTGGCCCAAATCCAAGATAGCGGACTATACGATAGAACAGGTATAACGAGGTAGTTGTTTCTAAAATTCGTCACTTTCTGGTATTGTTTTTTTCATAATAAAATAGGCGAATAACACAAATTCACGATTCAAGATCCCAGCTGGTAGCTACAATATTTGTCGGTTAGAGCATTGGACTCGGAACCAATAGGTCCCGGGTTCGATACTCACCATGCCCCGACGTTGTGCCCTTGGGAAAGGCACTTAACACGACATCCCTCCATGTACGGTGGAGTGACGCCCACTGAGCCTCTTAGGCTAATCTGTCAAAATGTGTGCCAAAAACACACTACTGATTTGGAGCGCCAATGTGCCAACATCTGCACATTTGCCATCAAGAGCCTTTTTTAAAACTTTGTTGCTGTATGCCGGATTTGGGGGAATACTTTTGTTGGACAGTTTCATCCCAAACAAACACATAAATGACGTTGCAATGACGTTGTAATACGTCATAACATCGTGACACCAAAGTTGCTGTGATGACTCAGTTCAGCAACGTCTACATCATCCTCTTCAGACGACTTGTACAGACATGTAAGGAGTTGTAAGGGAGGGACTGGGGTGCTGTTTCATCAAGTAAGCTTTTTCTGAATAAAAAGATTGTGCCAAATTGGCATTGACGTTTGTCTGACAGCATCAATATTGTAATATAAATGTATTTATACTTTGCCACAACAAGTAAATTTTATGGATGACATGAACAAGGCGGGCTAAAAAAAGATTCCTACATTTTCAAATTTTGACACCATTAACTTTATTAAACAAGAAATGATGCATATATTGTGGTAAGTTTACTGACAGCTATTACAACAACATCCATTTGTCACTGAAAGAACTTTGAAAAGCAAGTTTTCAAGCATTGTACAAATGGCTTTGTTTCAGTGGGAACGCCACATATACATGTACACAAATATCATCACATACAAAAGGAATGAAATACATCACTACATAAAAGACAATCAGAGCCTTGTCTTGTCTCCTCGCTTAATATTTATCTGACATCCGCGTTCCGTCATCTTTGCCCATTTTCGGCATGTTGACCACTGTCAGGGGGTAAATTTGTTGTTTTTATTTCCAAATCTCAACTGACACATCTGAACTGTAGATTATGATATACTATTATAATATATAATATAATACTCTCCTTGGGAATAGGAGTCAATAGATTATCTTTGGTGGAATTGAAATTTTGTATAGTTATTATGGATTAACTTGAAGAATTGTATTTTAGCATAGTTCGTGTATTTACCCTAAGGCTTGTTGTTTATTCTCTGCCATACATTGTACCAGTTACAGTTGTAGAGCAATAAGGTTGGTTTGTATTTGTATAAATATAATAAAAATATCTGGAACATTGAGACCTCGAGCAGTGCCCACCCATTGGACATAGAAAAAGGGCGATATATGAATATATATATATGTATATGTATATATTGCAGTGGAAGAAGAAACTCATTTTATTTCTAATTCTTCATTTTATGATTTATATCAGAAACCAATTATTTACCATCGTGTCCAAAATACACCCCTACTTTCTCAATAGTCCTAACCATGAGATCGATATCAAAGAACCGACATACATGTATCACAGAAGAAGTGGGTAATTTTGTCTTCAACTTCAAAGTTAAACCCAATAAAACTAACTTAGTACCATCATATATGTTGTACAGTGTAGCATAACGTTGGACGTAGTTCGTCATATCTTGTATTCTCTTTTTCATACACGTTGATTGTGCTTGCAATTAGCACTCGGGCATGTATTGCAACAAACTCTCTGTAATGTGTATTCTTCCGCGGAGGATCTCAATAAGCGCTTAGGCAAAAAAGTCTAAGAAGTTCAGATTGTATTGTGTATTAACTTTTAGAATAGTCACTTGTTCCACCTGTCATAACTGTACTATCTGTTTATACTATCTACATATTGTGTCATGTTGCTATTAGCCTTTGGGCATGAATAAACTTCTAATACTAATGATAGGTTAGACCATGGCTCTGTCGGGACAAGTCCTGCTTAGTTATTATAACCGTGCTAACTTGATAATCTCGTAGCAGGCTGAACGACTGGGCTTTTTAGTGAGGCTTTTAATGCGTTTTGTCCTTCACTTTTATTTGTACCAGGGTTCTTTTCTACGCTTGCCCGACAAAAGAACATCTGTACAAATACAAGTGATATGCCAGAAATAAAAAAAAAAAACGCATTATAAAGACTCTCCAACAAGCCCAGTCGAAGAGCCTGCTAGTTAGCCTGTCAGAATCGGGTGTTTTGACATGTGCAGTGCAGAACATGATATGATTGGCCATCATGTGCTAAGTGGCGAGATGAAATACTACATTGTACCTGCCATATCGCTTTGGATTCTAACAGTAAGGTACCATCTGCTGCAGATCTTGACGAACATACGTTCTTTATCTGTGAATATCTAGTTCCATGTTGATGTAATAACTGATTCAGTGCACCTCCAGTATTTCCTGTTACCAGTTTTATTGTTGTCTACTTAAAGACAGTCTCAAGAGCAGAGACCAGTATCATTTTTTTAAAGAACACATCTTTATTCATACAAAACCACTTTGGGGCGTAACCAGAATATTGACGACGCATAATATAACTGTGGCCTAGTCCAAGCTCAATGTCAAGTGCCAAACTACTTTTTGTAACTTTCTGGGATTCAAAAAAATATCTACATAACCCAAACAACCGAATCTGCTCTTGAAACTACTTTTAGTACGGAATTGATTATAGTCAAGCTATTGTACTAATTGTTGTCCAAATGCTTGTTCTGTGTTCTGGCAAAACCCGAAAATTGTTGGTCATGAACAGTTGATATATGAAGATAGAAAAAATTGTGTCGAAATCGACCATTTTAAATTTAGCTCCATGTCAAAGTGTATGAAATATACATAATATGTTCTTGAAGTGTGTAATGTTTTTTGGAGGACCTATTTTGAAGTTATTACGTGATAACTGTTATATTACCTGGCTTACTACAGTGAATGGAAATTTGTTTCCATAAGGCCATGTTGTTTTAATTAATATATGGATGACATCCTCGCGCGCATCAATTTTCAAAAAAAAAAGTTTTCGACCATACTGTAAATAGTACAAAATTAGCAAATATATGATGCATGTCGCAAAAAAAGGATTGGAAAACGATACTAATGCCCTAGAATGCCGAAATCAATTCAGGAAAAGAAGAAAATGTGACGAATGAAAATGAAGAGTCTTTTAATATTCGCAATACCATACTCTGTGTGTTTATTCATTCGTTCAACTTTTATGACCACCTAGATTTCATAATGAATGAAACTTTTTTT